CTCATTCTCCAACTGCCCAACTGTATCCTGGGTGATGTTACATGATATAATTATAATTAAATTCAATAGAAAAACTGCTGCATTTAGACTGAATTACTTGATTTGATGATAGAAATGATTTCATACACAGGTTCCAAAGGGAAAATATAGTAGCGATGCAACAGAAGAACCATTATTTGTTCCCCAAAGAACCATTAAGGGAACAGTTCTTACACCATTTTTCTTAGTGTAAAGAACTAAAGATATAAAAATCCTTAAAAATCTTTAATATTAAGAACCTTTTGTGGAATGGAAAGGTTTGATGGAAGTTAAAGGTTCTTTATGAAACCATTGATGTCAATAAAGAACCATTCATTTTGAGACACTGCACATGCATTGCAGAAAGAAAGACAGAAAGAAAGAAAGAAAGTTTACAGTAGGTTACTTTTACAATGTAAATTTGATGCTTGTGGAAAATGGGCTAAAGCACTTAGATTCGTTATTTAGTGACACTTTGTCATCATTATTTTGATGATAACTGATACAGTAAAAGGTTTGTAAATCTTTTATATCCAATATAGGCTGTTCATTTAATTTAGTCTGATAACTGTCTGAAGTCATTTTAGCACCATGGACAGAGAAGCAGTAACATTCCAAAGTCACTTGCTGTGGTCACGCCCATTTCACAGGGATCTTTTGACTGTTGTATAGTTCACAGAAGCATAAGTTTCAAAGGCTAATTATTCGATTTGTAAGCCAAATATATAGCGATTGGTTGTTTTAAGAGAAGGTAAGTGTTCGCAGTGTTTTTAATCATTTTAAAGAAGTGAAAATCTTTACCGACATGCATGCAACTCAGTTGTACACGCGTGCAATGTTAAAATTGATGAAACCAACCTGGTAGCCCATGACCTCAGCGTTGAGCCTGTCCTCCATCTCATGAATCTGCCTTTCCAGCGATTCATTGGTGCCCTTTAGGCTTTCGATCTCGATGGTCTTGGACTGCAGCTGCCTCCTGAACTCGTTGAGCTCTTCCCTGCTAGCGCGAATGACCTCGTTGCTCTTGTTGGCCTGTTCGCTAAGATCGGCGAACTTGGTCTTATACCACTCTTCAGCGGACTGCAAGTTCTTATTCGCCATAACCTCGTACTGGCCGCGAATCTCCTTGAGTGCGGAGGTGAGATCGGGTTTGGCCACTTCCATCTCCACTGACACCTGGGAAGCCTGGATCATGTTCATGAGTTCAGTTACCTCCTCCTCGTGCACATTTCTTATAAAGTTGATCTCGTCCAGAAGAGATTCGACCTTTTTCTCCAGGTCTAGGCGCACCATGGTGGCGTTGTCCACGTCCTTCTTGAAAGCTCTAAGCGTTTGCTCAGCCTCCTCGCGCATTCTCATCTCCTCCTCGAACTTCTCCTGGAGTTTCTGAAGGCCCTCCTCCATGTTGTCGCGCTCGAACATCATCTGGTTCTTCTCCGCGTTAAGTTCCTCGAGTTGGGAGCGCAGCTCTCGGATCTCCTGCTGGTAAAGTTCGGCCAGACGGGACGGTTCTGTCTGGCGCTGGCGCAGGGTCACGAGTTCGGCTTCCAACACCTTGTTGTGCTGCTCCAAATTGCGAACTTTCTCGATGAACATCGCGAAACGGTCATTGAGTCCTTGCATCTGCTCCTTCTCATTGGTACGGGTGATTTTGAACTCATTATTAAGTGCTGTGCTCTGGGTGAAGTCGAAGCTTTCCAGAGTCAAGGATGAAGATGGAAAGGCAGATCGGGTGGTGCGCTTGTAGGTGCTGGGGATGCTGGTGCGGGTCGCGGACTTAAACCCGCTTCGGGAGCTGCTCAGCCGGGATGGAGAGGCTGAGTAGAGGGTAGAGTCTCCGAAGATCTTCCGGTAGGAAGAGGCAGAGTAGATGTCGGATCCGTAGCTCATCTTGGCGTTTTGAAGACAAGGAGCAGAACCCAGGCGGCGTCTCCTTTTTATAGCAGGACCGTCCCAATCAATAATTTACCCGTGCTGCTCCTCGCATTCAACCTT